GACCAGGGTATCATCTGATAGAGCAGAACGAAGGCAGCGAAACAAGGATGGGGGGAATTGTTGGTTAATTTTTTTTTTCACACGCTTGGAGACCTCTGCACAGTTCAGGGTGGAATTTGGAAACATGGCTGCTTGGTTCATTTTTGTACTGTATAATTAGCAGTTGGGCTGTTTGGATGTTAAGATGGGTTGTTGCAATACTTACTACAAGATATAAGTTTATAAATGATAATGGCAACCTGGCACTGAAGCAGTCAAACCAAATCGGTTAATTATTGCAGACTAGCATGAATAATCAGATTATAGGAAACTGCAAATGAAAAACTAATCTCTGAAACATTTCCCTGTATCTGTATTTTCAGAGACATGAGTTGCTATGTACTGTAATTACGGCCATACTGAAGATTACACGATCGTACTTTAGCATCGAAGAGAGTCATTTTGGGGTTAATATTCACTCTTGAGTTTTATGGAACAAATAGGCTTCCATATGTCTCTGGAGCAATATGTTTGCGATCGCCATCTGTTACTCAAGAGTAGTTTTATAGAAAAATAATGCAAATTACTTCCCTCTTTAATTACACTGGTGCTTTGTAATATTGCATTCTGTTCTGATTTGGAAAAGTGCCAGTTTGCCAGATTCAAGGGACAGATGTTTACTTAATCATGAACTTTAAAAATAAGGTATAAAAATTGAGTTACATTTTTTGATTTTCTACAATATGGAAAAACTTAATTGTACAATTGTATACTTTGCAATATGTTAGTAAAACTTTGCGGAGTACTATCAAAGCTGTTTGTTAAGGCTCAATAACCAAGCCGCTACAGTACCTGTTCCATGAAAATACTCTGAAGCCCAGTCTTTGTTATTGCACTAAATTGGAAAAGGCAACATTTGTTTTATATTGCATCACAGTCAAATAGATCAACTACAATTAAAGATTTCATTTTTTTTCTGACATGGGAGAACCACTGAGGGGAACACTGAACATGTAAGGAAATAGAAAATGGTTGATACCATGGTTTGTCTTTTGTCACTATATAAAAGCAGATAGCACCGTAACAGTGTGAGGCTGCTTGGTACATTTCAAAAAAGCAGAATTTTAAAACCCTTTAGAACCCCTAAATGACTGCCCTAACAGTTTGCCTGAATACCACAGTTGAAGCTCATCCAATAAACAGATGTTGAGTCTCAACCAAGATACAGCAGAATTCCATTAGTCACTGAGATGTATGTAAAGTGCATCTGTTAAAGCACTCAGTTTAAGAAAGGCACTAATATGAATAGCAAAATGCAATTACTCCCTCTATTCATGTGCAATAAATTCAACAATTTTACATACACATTAAAAAACCCAGGAAATACTTGTGACTAGTTTACCAACACCTACATTTTAAAGAAGAAAACAGATTACATTGCTACTTCATTGCCACTTTCATTTTTACTTTCTCAAATGATAGACATCGTTACTTCTAGCTTTCAAAAATCCTTCCCCCCCCCCCTCAGGTTAAGTAAAAAAAAGAACTGTGTGAAAATCTGTCTTTAATCAAGCTCTTCTGTTCAACGCATATGAAATTGTAGGAAATTCTACATCTCAATTGTTTAAGTACAGGGTTTCAAAAAAACAATAGAGTTTAAAACATGTTGGTAGAACCAGGATCCTGTTATTTTGGCACTAACAGGAATCCACAGGTCCAAGTCCTACAAAAGATAATCTTATGAGGCAGTCTTCCCCCGAATGCCACCTAACTGCAAATCATTAACATGAACTTCGCTCCTCAGCTTTTGGACTCTGCTAGCTAATATGATAATATTTTTGATGTATATCTTTAACAACTCTGGTTTTGGCAGGTGCCTCTGCAATTTATTACTGTTTGATGACCATCATGTGACACTCCTTTAAAAAAATGTCACTTATTCCCCAGTTCCAGTAAATATGTCTTTCACTGCAGGCAGATACTTCTGTGCTCATTCTACACTTTGTCTTACTGCATTTGATATGTCGATATGTCCTGCTTTCAAGTCCTAGTTTTAAGAAGATCAATGCATAGGTTTAATTTTTTTGGTCTTTACAAAGAACAGTACTCTCCTTTACTCTTGTGATCTAAATGTATGGATTTTCCATATGTATATGCTGCAGAACTTTATGTACAAGAGGTTAAATCAAGTCATTATTGGAAAAAAATTACCTAAAGTTTGTACAGTTCAATTCCAGAAAGGAAAAGCACTGTAAGACTCTTACCTGTAAGTTCTATTCATTTCAAGGTTTGCTATTATGGTAGTGCTAAAAGAGGACTTCTTCAAGTACCAGTGCTAATCTATACTATCTCAGCATAAGCACATAAACCAAATGACTACATGCCATGGTTTACACCATTAATTTATAATCAATTAAAATTATAATACTTAATTCTGCAGTACTGGCAAAACCACAGGCAGGCTGTTCCAGATCAAACATACCACTTGAAGTGAAGTGAGTGCAGCTTAGAGCTGGTTAGCGCATGGAAATCTAAATGGTCTTAATGGTAGTACTACAGAGACACCCATCCACATTTCAGTATTCTAGACAAACCACTATAAGCATTATTAGGGTGAATTTGTTTTTTTTAAATCAGTCAATGCTCACTTCTTCAGTGACGACAGTCAGTTTAAACGAGGTTTTGTAGTAAACCCCCCCAAAAGCCTGTATTCTCGCAAGGTCAGATAGCAAATCCTAAGGACCCACCCAAACTCGGCTGCAGGCGGCCACAAACGAGCAGAACAGCGTAGCACTGGGTGTCAGCCGGTGCTCTGCCATTACCTCCCTCGTCACAGGGAGGGTTGCTGGCTGTACCAGCCCAGCGGAGACCACCACAACGCATGTCATCGGAGACACACATTCAGCTTTTAAATGGCAAGAGCCTGCCACTCGCAACGCAGGAAAAAACCTCAACTATCATCATGTTGTTTTTAAACATCTCCAGATCAGCTTTTGGAAATTTTCTGTTGTCATTCTAGCAGACCGATAATGTTTCTTGTTCTTTTCTCTAAAATGAGATCAAAGTCTTTGCTTGCTGTGAGAAGGCTGGAAAGGGGAAGTCATTCTTCTTAGACCTGAATCTATCTCTGTCTCTGTAGGCCACGCCACTGTGGTACAGGCTGCATTTCTCTCCTCATTAACTTGCAAGTTAAACTCAGTGCTGTGTTTCTGTTTTCTAAAGAGTATACTTAAAAAAAAACTTCAATCATAAGATTGAAGGTAACGCATTAGAATTGACTCATTCAGCAGGTCACTGAACTACAAGCAGTTATGAAAAGGAAATGAATCTCTAAGTAGAACCAAAATAGAGAACCAGACAGAGGAATGTGTCCAAAACACATCCTGTTTTCAGATCATCCTGTGTGCCCCTCCTTCCATAGAAACCAATTTTTAATGTAAACTGTCTCTAAAGTCTTCCTCAAGCACCAGAGGCTCCTTGCAGGAAAGACATTTAAGAAGGAAAAGCCAGGAGGAAGAGGTGAAGGAGGGCGGCACTTTAGAAGTTCTGTTTTTCTCTTGGTGGCGCTTTATACGTTGTGAAGGTATTTTCTTAAACAAAGAAAAACAGAATTCTCCTTCAGATTCTGAATCAACAGGCTTAATAGATTCTCTCCTTTCTGCTAGCAGATAAATAACATACATTTGAAAAAGGCTGAAAGGTAGTAGGAACAGCTAGGACTCAAGAACTGACTCTGCACTGATAACTGGTTTATGTTCCTAGCTTCACAGGACGGCATGCGAAGGAAAGTATGAGTCAGAGCCTTTCATAGTAAATTCCCCATGATATAACAAGAAATGCTTCCAAAATACCTCTATCTGTGTGTCATCACCACTCCAGCGCAGAAGGAAAAAATGCTAACATAGCATTACAATGTTACAAGACAACGGCTGTGACGGCAAAAAGAGGAAAACCAATATAATAGCTCAGAGCACTACAACACATGGGTCTATCCTTGCAGAATAACGTAGGGTTTTGGGGTGAGAAGAAAGTATTTTGAAAGTTGTGTACAGTGTCAGCACTGGAGCGGCCAACCCAGCTTTGAGAATATTGTTGTCAGAAAGATATGCCTCTATAAAACCTACAACTTCACTTCTGCTCATAGCAAAATTTTAAAATAATTTTTGCTAAATGCATCAGTTCTCTCTTCAAAAAGGATGTGGCTCAACACGCTGCCTGTTGTTTTGGAAGACTTTTCATACTAAGCAATTTTCGTAAGGTCTATTCGTGCCACTTACTGGACTTCTAGTGAATTACACTTTTAAATGTTCAGGGCTCGATTAAATTAACTCCAAGAGTCTTTACAGATTATATTTGTGATTATTTTTATTGACTTAGGGAAAAAAACACTCAATCTCTTACTAGAAAAAGTAATGAAAAATGTTTTTTTCAGTCCCATTATCTGCAATATTTTTCTCATAGGTTCTCTAAATCAGTTTAAACACATAAAATGACAACTAACAAATTCTTCTGCATCTTTGTTTTTGACTGGGGTGGGAAACTGCAAAAGACTATGCCCATGGGTACAACTTCACGCAATGTGTCATTTAGTATGAAACGACGTATGAGTGACAATTTAGTCAGCATCTAACGTGAAAGTAGATGGGACTTCTAGATTCCATTTATTACCTGAAAACCCCCGTGTCACGTATGAATCTGTTCGAGGGAAAAATGAGCAGGTTTTTCGAACAGAGAACTGCGATCGTACTGAAGACTCCGTCTCTGTGCTTCACCGGTTTCTGCGCGCCCGCGAGAGCGAGCGCCGCGGCCCCCCCCTGCCATAATCACGGCAGTGGCCATTACACGAGGTCCCACGCGGCTCTTTCCTGGAAGCGCCATTTCGCCTGTGGGAAAGCAGCGGGCGCGTTACCCTCAGCTCCGACAAGAACCCTCTGCGGGAAGCGAACGGAACGCGCGCGCAGTCTCCGCACCGACTCCCTCCGCAATGACCCAGACCAAGCTACGCGCGGGGAAACGACGCGATGGCGCTTTTGCAAGTAGTGCCAACAACCTCCCTGCCGGGAGGCGGCTCCCGCCCGAACCCTGGAAGCCCGTCGGCGCCCGGCGCCGCGCT